AAAAAAACTGGAAATGGTGCTGTCACTCAAGTGCCAACCTTGAGCAAAAATAGTTCAGGATCTGAGGATCACAGTTCCAAGTCAGCCCAGGCAGAAAAGTCTGTGAGACTTTTATCTCCAATACACTACCCAGAAAAAGCCGGAAGTGTTGCTGTAGTAGAGCACTAGCCTTGAGCACAAGAAGCTCAGGGACAGCACCCATGTTGAGTTCAAACCCCAGGACTGGCCAAAAAAAAAAGGAGCTCAGGGACAGAGCCCAGGTATAGAGTTTAAGCCCCTGGACTGTCCCCCCCCATACCCTCCAAAAAAGAAAATTTAAAATAGCCCTTCGTAAGGGTTAGATCAAGGTACTTGTAGGTACTTCATCTAGTGGGTCTTTGAAGTGAGAGGCCTAGAAAAATATAGAAATGAAGAGAGGAAGTTGTTTGGGAAGATGGATAGGGAAATTTTGATGGCTGCTGAGCTTGAGGTAGCTTGAGCTCAAGACAGGTATTGTTCTTCCCAATACACAGATGTCTGAGAACAAAGAGAAAGGGAACTTCATCTACTTAAAGAAGTAGGGAGAGGAAGTTGAGGCAATCACCAGAAAAAAGGAAGCCTGGTCTATAGTCATCCCAAGAACAAGGGGATATTTATGTTTGCAAGTCTGCAGTCAGGGCAGCCAGTGTGAAATGTGCCAGTAGGGGGCAGACACGCAGGCAAGTATACCTCATGGAAGAGAGTAAAGAGCTGGATAGGTTGCTATTCTGCAGAGGAAGGCAGTATTGAGGATGGTAGGGAACATGTTTTAGGTGACCTGGGGCTACTGGAGGATGAACCTGTGTTGACAACCAGAGGGCCTGGGCTGGGATTCCTTCCCAGCACCTGCCCTCATTTCCGCACCTCCCTCCGCCTCCCTCCCTATGCAGTCCTCTGGGGATCTGGAGAATGATGAGCAGGCAGCCAGTGCCATATCTGAGCTGGTCAGCACGGCCTGCGGGTTCCGCCTGCATCATGGCACGAATGTCCCCTTCAAGCGCCTGTCTGGTGAGTCCCAGCCCCTGCCCCAGGTGTGTGTGTGCAGGGTGTTCCAGAGGCTTCTTTGCTTAGAAACAAAACAAATTTTATTCCCATTGACTCCCACCAACTCTTCCTGGGGCCCCTGGCTCCCTACTTTCTTCCCTTTGGTAGCCCCCCAATATCAGAATAAGGACGAGGAGGAAGATTTCAGTGGCCTCTCGTCCAGTCTCTACCTTTGAGCCCACCCAGTTTCTGCATGACCCAACGGAGGCCATGACACCCACTGATGCTGTGCTCCCTTCTCCCGGGCCGGGGGAAAATATATCTCCCCTCCAGTGGTCTTCGGAGAACACACGCTGCTGGTGACGGTGTCGGGACAGAGAGTGTTTGTGGTGAAGAGGCAGAATCGAGGCCGGGAGCCCATTGATGTCTGAGCTTGCTGGAGGGCGAGGGCTGGACAAGCAGACTTGAGTCTGTGGACCTCAGGGATGAGGAGCACCCGCAAACTCCACCTCTTTCTCAGCTTGCTAGAACCAGGGCCTGCGGTTCACCCACCTTCCCAACCCCACTGGATGGGCCGAGGTTAAGGGGAACAAAAGCAAAGAGATTTCTGCCCTCTTTCTTTCTCCTAATAAACATGAGTCTGATTGATGTTCCTGGACTCAGAGATGAGGGTGGGGAGGCAGGCTGTTTTCTACCTTTTTTACCCATGTGGCACTGGGGACTGAACCCAGGGTCTCCACTAGCAAGTGCTCTACCACTCTGAGACATGTGCCCAGTCCTTTTGTTTTTCAAATAGAACCTCATGGTGATGATGCTAACTTTGCATACACTCTTCCTGAACTGACATCCTCCTACCTCTACTTCCCAGGTAGGTGAAATTATAGCATGCACCATGCATCCAACTTGTTTTTTGCGATGGGGTCTTGCTAACATTTGCCCAGATTAGGCTTGAACTGCTATCTTCCTGTCTTCATCTCTCAAGTAGCTGGGATTATAAAGTTTGTGATACAACAAAAGGCATCTTTTACCTTCTTTCTTAAGAGACAGTTTTGTATCTTAATGCATGGAGCACAGGGCCATGCTGGGCACTGGAAAAACAGGAAGGGCGTGAGGGGACCCCGAATGGTTTGCCTTCTCCATCAACACATTGAATAACAGTCATTCTTCCTCCTGAACAGGCATTTAATAGTCTTATTTCAGTTGGAAGCTGGAGTTGGAATAAGTTACAGAGACAGACCAAAAAAAAAAAAAAAAAAGGACAACTTAAAGTGCTTCAGGCTGCCAACGTAAACATGAGGGCAGAAGGAGGCTACCTAACTGTGTCCCCGACCCCTGCGGCAGGAGGTTATTATCGGGGTCCCTTTGCCATCACCACCCTCTAATCTCAGCCCTGTGAGTGGGTGGGGGAATGTCTGAGGTGGGAAGAATGTAATGGGAATGAGGAAAATACTCTGTAAACTTAGAAGAGGGGTGAAGGGCAGGGGCAAGGGAGTTCTTGGAGCCCTGCCCTGCCCTGCCTGGGGTGGGGCCAGCCCCCCCACAGGACCTCAGGAGAACACTGTTGGCCTCGCACTGCAGCTGGCCCAGCTACTTCACAGCTTCTGCCCCATCCCTCATCAGTAGACACAGACAGGCTTTCCCCCATGGCAGGAGGCATGGCCTGGGAAGTGAGGAGCCCTCCGGGGGCTTTGGGGTTCTGGAGCGAGCGTGCAGGAAGTCAAACTACTTGACGGGCTCCACCACCAGAACCTTGCACTCGCGCTTGGCAATCTTGTCCAGAGACAGCACAGCCTTGTCCGGGGGCAGGTAGAGGGGCCGGCCAACGGGGGAGGCCACAGGGGGTGTGATGGCCCTGCGCTCCATCACACTGCCTGACCTGGGAGAGGGTAAAGATGGTAGGCTCTGCTCAGACTCTGCCCCCTTCCCCACTCCCTGCTCCCAGCTTCCGCTCTAGCAGTGCCACGCCTTCCCTGACTCCTACCTCATGAGGTGGCTGCGGGAAGGCTGCTGGTGGGAGAAGGACTGAGAGCGGCCTAGGCTGGCCTGGTGCCTCTCCACCAAGTCCCGCACTGCAGGGCTGCTGGGGCTGCTCTTTCGGGAGAGGGGCCGGGCCTCAGGCGGAGGGTGGGACACACTGGCGGTGAATTGCAGCTTCAGTTTCATGTGTTGGCTCAGCTAGGTGTGAAGATGCGGGTGAGTGAGTATGGCGGATGGCTGTGCAGCCCAGACCTTCACATCATCTTCCCGCTGGATGGGCCCAGGGGGGTGGCTCCCTCTGCTCGGCCCTCTAGTACCACCCGTCACACTTCCTGCATCTAAGCAAGGGGCCCAGACTGCTCGCCTACCTCAAAGAGCCCTGTCCTCAGGGCCTGGAAGGCCACACTGAAGGTGAGGGCACTGCCCTTCCTGGAGAAGCCGAGGTTGTTGAGGGGCGTGTGGCAGACGATGGAGTCCAGGGCTGCCTGCATGGCCCGGCGCTCCTCCTCACACAGCTGCTTGCCTGGGGGGCAGAAACAGCACCCATGAGCACCGGACAGCCTTCCTCAGCTCCCACACGCCTTTACCAGCTCAGCTGAAGGAGATCCAAAAGCCATTCTGTGGAATAAACTGAGGAAATGTTATCTTTTGCTAAGGGTTTAAGGGTGGCAGTAGCTGATACTGTATGCTGAGGTCTGTACTAATTCAGGGATGTGCATAACCCATGATGTGTTATTTGCCCCACAGTAGAGATAAGGACCGAGACTTAAGAGGTTGATATGACAAATAAATGCAGAGATCTACAGTCTGCCTTCAAATCTACCCAACTGCCTCTTAACTCCATCTGTGATGCTGGGGAGACTACCCCAGTGCAGAGCCATGAAGCACCTACTGGGCGATTTGTCCTGTTCTCACGGCCCTATCTCCTTGTCTTCCTCTTCCTCTCCCATCCCGGGGACAAGGTCCCAACTCAGCAGCTGACCCACCAGCCTGTGCATGTTCCGGGGTCCACACAAGCCTCACAGCAAGGAAGTCTTGGAGGTTGTTGAGCAGTGTGTAGGTGACAGTGAAACGCTCATAGGTCCGAACAGGGGACTCACAAGAAGCGGTCATCACAAAGCAGGGGCGGTCGAGGCGAACGCTGGGCAGGCTGGGAGCAGGGAGAGAGGGAAGCTGGATGTGTTAGGCAGAGATGTGAGCAGAAGGGTGCCTGGCAGGGGCTGCCACACACTCACCGATAATGGGTATAGATGCTCTGGGTGAAGGGCAGCTTTGGGGTGGACCACTGGACCACAGCAATCAGAGGAACTTCGAGGCCCTAGGAACCACACGAAGGCAGACTTCTCATGTATCACAGTTCCCTGGCCTTTCCCTCCCACTTGCCTTTTCTTGTCTTCTTCCCAGCAATACTTCAGCCCCTTGTGCTCACCTCCTTGGCCCCTGGAGGGGGCTGTTCACCCCCTCGCAGCTGAAACAGGAAGTTGTGTTCCTCCAGGGCACTAAGTGGACAGGGGAAACAGCCAGAGGTACTAGGGAGCCGGCAGAAGGAGCCCATGGAGACTTCTCCAGACTGGTGACTAGGAGAGAGGAGGGCACGCCATGATCCTGTTATGCTCCTGTCCCTGTCCCCAAGGCTTCATGGCCCTGCCCGTGCCCATGATCTCACCAGACATTGTCCACCAGCAGCACAGAGCCATCAGGCATGACAGGTAGATAATTGGCATTGAAGTTGGGGAGGATTCGGATATCCCAGATGGAGATCTCCTCCTGGGAGGAGCTGTTCAGCACTGTTGGAGGTAACCAGTCCTGCTCAGAAAGTAGCCAGACCCTTCAGGCCCCACCTTTGCCCAGGAAAACTGACCCATCTCTACCAAACTGCCCCCAAATAACTGCCACCCAACCCCCTTTCAACTCCCTGAGCATCAAGCCAGCGGGTCCACTCACCCTTGAGCACAGTCAAATGTTTGCCAGCCACAGTGAACTGCCGGCATTTCAGAACTGGTGGGGGCAGCAGCGTCAGTAGGGTGCTCACTGCAGAGAGGACCGAGCCAAAAAAAAAAAAAGGTCTGATGTGGATCCCATTACCTTCCAGGATTGCCTCTCCACTCTGCCTTCAAAAGCCCAGGCCCCAGCTTTTCCCATTTGCAGCCTCCTTCCCACCTTGGGCCTTGAATGTGTTCTGCTCGCCCCGGAAGGTCTCCCCAGGAGATCGTGTCTGCAGTAAGCGCAGGTAGCCTTGGTCTCTGACCTCTGGTGCCTCAACCTCCCGCTTCCATACAGTCACTACAATCTGAGTACAGGAGACACCGATCACATTCCCAAGTCAAGAGGAGGTGAATAGCCCAGTCTTAAAGGCTGCCTGAATGAGGCCAGCAGCTCCTCCCTCCCCATCTTACCTTGGCCTTGGGTGTCCCTGGAGGCAGTCTATCCAGTGAAACCGTAAGTGGGAAGATGACCTCATCTGTGGACACAATCGGTTCCTCCACAGGCAGCTGGAGTTGTGCAAAGGGGCAAAGAGGTCAAGAGGGAGTAGAGGAGAAGTAAAGCCTGCAGGGCCCGACAGTCCTCAGTGTCCACCCCATCGCTGTCATCTGCCCCCTGACTTAGGCTCCCAGTGTTCATCTCCCAAACCGTTTCTGGCTCCCAGCAAACCACTACCCGGCCCCGTCCGGGGTGTCCACCCGAGCTCCTCACCGTGGTCGCTCCCCCTGAGGTAGCAGGGCCCGGGCCGTGGGTGAGAAGGGGGCTGCAGCCTCGGAACAGGCCCCCGCCCCCGGGGTCCCCTCCCCCGGGGGGCTCGGGGTCCCGGTCTCCGGTGCCCCCTCCTCCTGGCAGCACGCCTCCGGCGCTGACCGAGGCCAGGGCAGCCAGGGCGGTCGCCAGCTCCGCCCAGGCCCCCCGGGAGCCCAGGCCCGTGCTGCCCCCGGCGCCGGGCCCCGCGCCGCCCCGACAACGCAGCACCAGCAGGAAGCGGACGGTCTCCCCCAAATACAGATGGTTACGCCGGGGCAGCGCCCGGTACCGGCCCGGGTCCCCTGCTAGCTCCGCGCGCGGCGGCAGCGGCACGGCCGGGAAGTACATCGAGTAATCGCATTGGGACTCCATGGGGGGACCGGGGCCGGGCCGGGCCGGGGCCGAGGCCGGGACGACACCCCAAGGCCGCAGCTCTCGGCCCCCAGAAACCAGCCGGGTCCGGAAACCCGGGCAACCAACCCGGAACCCAAAGCCGGAGACACCGGAACCCAGGGGCGGGACGGAATGACTGGATAGACACACACACAGGAAGCGGAAGCGGGTGGGCGTGGCCGGGGAAATCTGCGTAGCGGGTAGAGGAGGTTAACGGGGTCTGGGAGGCAGAGAGAAGGCAGGTTGGCTTCCTTTAAATAGTTAAAGGAATCCTTTCCAACCTCGCTTCTGCCAGGAAGATTCACTATCCCTCCCTATTCTGCCCTATATAAATCAAGCGAACGTTTCATGTCATTTATTCATTCAACAAACATTGCACAGTGAAATGCACACAACAAACACTTCCTAGGAAATGGATGTGTCATTGCAATTCCCCAGGCCCCAAACTTTCCCTGAGGCACGCCATCTTTCTTCCCCTCCTGGGGGCTTTGAAGAGCACCACCACCTGGACCTGCCTTCGGGGTTGGGAAGGAGAAGGAACAAAATGGACATCCTGGAGAGAGTTGCTGCTGTGGTTCTCAGGCCAAGGCCAGAAGACTTGAGGCCTGAGGCCTGCAACGTTTCAGCCCCTGCAAGAGAAGCAAAGATTGCTTCTGGCCTCCTCCACGGTTGATCATCGCATGTGTCATGCATATTTTGTAGTCTGATGCCTATGGGGAAAGTAGCCTTGAAGTCTTGAGGGTCTGTGTGACTATAGGGGGGAACTGCTTGGCATCCAACTTGTCCTTGTACTGTAGCTCGGGGGTAGCCAAGCGTTCACACTCTTCCTGGTCTTGGGGGCTCAGTCCACTCTGAAGTACATAGCCCAAAACCTTAGAGGATCCAAACTGGAAGGGACGGAGCTTACGATCTGTGATGTACTTGGGGTCTAAAGCCTCACCTCCCACCAGGCAATGTTTAGCCAAGGCCTCTCTTCGTGCCCGGAGCTCTGCCACAGCACGTTGAAGCTTTCTCTGACCAAATTGTTCTATCCGTGCCCAGAGACTACGATTGAAGTGGAGATAGAGAGCCCAGTCTAAGTTGTTCCAGGCTCGTGCACGTGCAGTCAGCAGCTGATCATCAGGAGTCAATTCACTGTTGCTGGCAGCACTGTGACCCTGCCCACCTCCAGCCTGAGCATTGTGCATGAAGCCTACCACATCATCCAGACCCCAGCACAGGGCATCTGCCAGCAGGACCAATGATTCATCAAAGTATTCAGCTACCATGACCAAGTCAAAGACAGAATCTAGCCAGGCTAGACCCCATTGGATGAAGGATGAAGATTCCAAATCTAAAGTGGCAGGGCTGGCTGGCTGGCTGTGGCCATCAGCTACTGTGGGAACAGGCTGGAAAAGAGCATTAGGATCTGGCACTTGGGCTCTAGAGCCAGCACCAGAAGGTAAGACATGTATATGGAGAGAGTTGGAGTCTTTAAGGAGATTGGGATTCCCTCCTTTGGTCCTCATCTCTGGAGGGAAGGGCAGGCCAAAGTCAAACCATAGTAAGTTGCGGGCATAATGGTCTCCACGGGCACCAGGTCGGTAGAAGGCTCGAGGATTAGCAAGGAAGGCAGCCAAAGATGGTGCCTTGCGGAAGGCTGATGAGGTGGATTTATAGTAGGAAAAGGCTGAGCGGGCCAAAGCTGCTGGGTCTCGGACAATGGAGAAGAAAAAGCTGTCTGGAGGCATGACCTGAAGAACCTGCAGAAGAGAGAAGGAGGACATAGGGAGGAAGAACAATAAAGATAAGATGATAACTGAGAAAGTAAGCCCAGGCAAATCAAGGTCCTGCTGATCCTCCAGTTTCTCACAGCCCTGCTGAGAAATCTCTGATTCTGTAACTAGCTACAAGATTCACTTTGAGTCAAGTGCCTGTAGCTCACACCTGTAATTCTATCTACTCAGGAAGCTGAGATCTGAGAATCCCAGTGTGGGAGATTCTTAGCTTTGATTAACCACCCAAAAACTGGAAGTGGAGCTTGATGGCTCAAGTAGTAGAACACCAGCCTTGAGCAAAAAAGCTAAAGGAGAGCACAAGGCCCTGAGTTCAAATTCCAGTATTGGTGCACACGTGTGCATGCACACACACACACGCACACATACACACACATACACACACACCACACTTGGACTAGGGCACTAGGGAACTTTGTCCACTTGGTAGAATGCTGCCCTCAGGTTGGGACTTGGAATTCTACTTCTTATCAAGGCCAATGGGAATCAGGCTGAGTTATGCCTTTGTGCAAATATGTGCATGCAGGGAAGGAGTAAGTCTTCAGTGAAGGGTGAGAGTGCATGTGTTCATCTCAATTGCTGCACAGGTGTTCTACCACTTGATCTATGGCTTAGATCTCATGTTTTTGCCAGGGTCTAGTCTCAGACAATGATCCTCCTACCTATTCCTCCCAAGTAACTGACACTACAGGTATGATTCCCCACATTTGTCTTGTTGGTTGAGATGGGACTTTGCTAATGTTTCCCTGTTCCCCACCCCCAGCCTCAAACCTCAATCTTGATCTCTATCTCCCGAATAGTTGGGAATAAAGGCATGAGCCACCCCGCCCAATCTTGCCCAACTATTCTTGCTTGAGACAAGGTTTTACTATGTACCCTAGGCTGGCTGCAAACTCATAATTCCTCCTGTTTCAGCCTAAGTGCTAGGATTACAGGGCTGGGCCACCACACTCAGCTTTCTGTCCTACGCTTCTGCTGTGCTTGGCTGAGGACTTGACACAGAACGGACAGGAGGCCTCTGTAGTGAGGCCTCTAGTGAGAAGACACTGGTCTTGGAGCAAGGGCTGAGGTACCATCATGGAGGGGAACAGCATGAAGGTCAGGTGGAGGAAGATCTAGGGGATGGGAGGGGCTTCAAGACTGGAAGGGAACTGACTCTAGGGAAAGAGTCAAGGAAAGAGACTGGAGTTGATCCCACACAGGGAGGCAGGGAAGACTGGCTTCTAGAAATCTCTTGGACAAAGGACACCTGTGGAGATGGTAACATTGAATCCCCTATTTGTGGCTCCTATGATGCCTGGAAGAGGGAGGGAAGAGTCTGGGTGTTAGGCATTCCCATCCTTTTCCTGGTGGTCTTGGTCATGGGGCCTGGGGCCTGAGAACCCTTCCCCCCACACCGGTTGTAGGGCTTGACCTCTGGGCCTGGGCGCTTTCCTCAGCTCTTCACCTCAAGGCTAGCACTCTACCACTTGAGCCACAGCGCCCCTTCCAGTTTTCCGGTGGTTAATTGGAGATCAGAGTCTCATGGACTTTCCTGCCCAGGCTGGTTTTGAACCACAATCCTCAGATCTCAGCCTCCTGAATAGCTAGGATTAGAGGCGTGAGCCACCGGCCGCAGGCCAGAGCACCTCTTTCCTTATCTGCTCCCACCCACTGCACCCCTCACCTCTTTCAAGTTGAATCTCATATGGTGACAGAGGATGTGGAAGGAGGGCTGGGTACCTCCACCATGGGGATTGTAGCCTTTGACCCGAGAGGCCTGGAAAAGTCTTGGGTAGCCAAACTGGTAGCGGGCAGGGAGGGCGAAGCGCAGCCCATGTCGGTCCCCATAGCGATGAAGCAGGTTCAGCACGGAGCTGCTTCCAGATTTGTGTGTCTTCAGGAACACAAGGTGCTGCCGAGGGATGCAGGACTGAACGTCTGGTCCCAGGGATGGGGCCCAGGGCTGTCGAAGCTGCAGCCCAGGGAGCCTGGGAAGATACGAGAGGGGCAAGTGAAGCATCCCTCCACACAAGCAGAGCAGCTAACTTTTTTTTTTTTTGTCAGTGGTGGGGCCTGAACTCTGGGCCTGGGTGCTTTCCTCAGCTCTTCAGTTCAAGGCTAGTCCTCTACCACTTGAGCCACAGTGCCACTTCCAGCTTTTTCTGCTTATGTGGTGCTGAAGAATCGAACCTGGCAAGCACTCTACCACTGAGCCACCTTCCTAGACCAGTAGGTAACTTTTTTCTGTACTGGTACTAGAAGTTGAACTCAGGGCCTGAGCACTGCCCCTTAGTTTATTCATTCAAGGCTAGCACTCCACTTGAGCCACAGCTTCACTTCTAACAACAGACAACAAAATGCAGATCCTAGAGCTTGAACTCTGAGCCTAGGTGCTGTCCTTGAGCTTTTTTATGCTCAAAGGTAGTGCTCTACCACTAGAGCCACAGATCCACTTCTGGTTTTTTTTGGTTAATTGGAGATAAGAGGCTTGCAGACTTTTCTCCCCAGGCTATATTTGAACCTCAGTCCTCAGATCTCAGCCTCCTAAATAGTTAGGCTTAGAGGCATGGGCCACCAGCACACAGCTTCATTTCCAACTCTTCGGTGGTTAATTGGAGACAAGAGTCTTATGGACTTTCTTGCTCTGGCTAGTTTTGAGCCATGAGTCTCAGATCTCAGCTTCCTGAGTACTTAGGATTACAGACATGAGCCACGAGCAGCTGGCTAGAACAGGTAACTTTTTGTTAAAAAAAAAAAAAAAACGCAAGCAGGTGCAGATGCTCCTCTGAGTCCCCAAGAATCACAACCCCCACGTAGGATGAGGAGGAACACATGAGGGAAGGGGGCAACCATCAGACAAGGTGGGAACTCACCTCCTCTGGAAGGGTCCCCCCCAGAGCTGGAGGCCAAAGCCGATGGTCATGAAGATGCCCAGAGCTACCCCCAGGCTCCGAGGCCCCCAAAGCCGCAAAGTCCTGACAGGAGACATAGGGCCCATGTGGTACAAGGAAGGGGCTGGGGCTGAGCCAGGGCCAGAAGCAGTGGTGGAGACAGCTTGAGAGAGCCGTGCAGCCGTGGAAGGCGCTGTGTGGAGATCGGGGGGTCATTCCCCAGGCCTGCTTGCAGCCCTGGTTGAGTCTGCCCACTGAGTTAGCAGATTTTTGCCTCTGTCAGCGTCTAGAAGGGAAATGAGGGGGAAGGAGGGGAGTCTAAGGAGAGGGGTTGAACCTTTTCTCCTGGGACTGCAGTGGAGTCCAAATTGGAGGGGCGGGGAGGAGCAGCTAGGGATGGTCTCTACACCAGATCCTTAAAGGTGGCTCCATAACTCTTACTAGTCCCCGTGGAATCAATCTCTTGCTTGCCTACCGTCCCCCCAACACCCCCCTCAGCCCTTGAGTTTCCCCTGAGCTTCAGCTGGCTTAGAAAAGGAGAGAAAGGCAGAGCTTTGATTGCAAATGAAATCAGACCAATTGGCCAGGGCATCGCCAAATTCCTGGCTTCCTCCTGAGCCTCTTTGTGGGTCACACAAATGAGGATCAAGAGCACCCCCTTCTGTGTCTAGGAGGGGTAACCATAAGATGGAAATGAAGATCAGATAAGAACAGGTTGGATAAGCTAGGAGGACTGCCTAGAAGTGATTTGGTAATGAGAATACAACTTTGTGACCTAAATACAGGCGACTTCTTTTCCTCCCTCTAGCAGAGGCCGACCCCAGTGTATAAGGGGGACAGGGGTGAGGGTGAAGAGGAAAACGGGGAAGAAGTAGGGTTGCTCATGGTCACAGCCCCATCCTACTTTTTAACCCCATCATTGCTTGAGAAGAGGGCAGAGAAGGGAAAGAAAGTAGGAAACAGAAGAAAGATCCTTTTCCAGGCCCAAGCTTCCCAATCAACTGGAAGTCTGGCTCCACCTTTTCAGATCACACCCCACAATCCTGGGCCAAGGACCCTTCAACAAGCCTGGACAACCCCCTTCCCTAATGAGCCAGGATTGACCCCCAGGCAAAGGAGTTCACATTACCCACCCCCTCTGGCATCACCCTTAATTGCCTCCTTCAGCACAGTCCCCCAGGACACAGTTTCTCAAATTATTGTTTCTTTCTAGCCATCTCTTTTTCTATTCCCTCCCACTACCTCAGCCCTCCATCTCCTCCAGCCTTGGTGACTGCTCAGTCTGTTGCTAAGCCTTTTGTGGGTTCCCCTGTGAACCCCTCAAGGCTCCTTCTATAAATTCAGAGGTCCCTCTTATTGATCATCTTCCTTTGCCCACTTACTCACCAGGCCATAAGGGGAGCTGCAGGGAAATCAGGTCGGAATCCTAGAGCCCGCCTCAGCCACCGCCCCGTTCCTTCCCTCCTGGCTCAGCTCAACTTTCCCCACAAACTTTCTCAGCACCCAGGCTCCTCCCCTCCCCTCCCTTTGTCCCGCCAGCCAGGCCTCACAGCAGCTGCTCCTCCACTGACTCTGTGTGTCTAGTTTTCTCCCTCCCTCCCTCCTTCCTTCCCTGCATCTTTTTCTCTTGTCAGAGGAAAGATCACAGGGCCTGCCCTTGGAATACACCGTTTTTAGCATTCTTTCATCTGGGAATCAATTATATGGTTTTCTGTTTTCTGTAGAACAAAAGATTCATTCAAGGGGGGGTCGGAGGACAGGAGAGGAAAGGGGAGGGGAGAGGAGAGGAAAGGGGAGGGGAGGGGAGGGGAGAGGAGATAAGAGAGAGGAAAGGGGAGGGGAGAGGAGAGGGGAGGGAGGGAGAGAAGGTCCTGAGAAATTGAAAGCCTACTTTGTCAGGGATGGGACAAGGGGGCCAGAGGCTGACACTTGTAAACGAGGTCCCTCACTATCAAGGCAGAGACAGTGAGAGGGATAGTATTAAGAATGCTTTTGCAGGTTGGTAAAACAAACCTTGCCCAATGTGTTTAGTCTCCATTATGATCCCTAAAGATGCTCAGATCTAGAGTGTAGGCAACCTGGAGATTGAGGTCATTCCCCAAGCCTGCTCACAGGGGATAAGTTCCAAGACAGAAAGCCAAGAAGCAGGCAGAAACGGGGCCAGTCATGGTACACCCTGGGGCCCCTGATAGGAGGCAGAGATCAGGGAAGGCCATCAAAGGGTCAGAAAGGCATACACACACACACACACACACACACACACACATACACCCACACAGTCCAATAAATGATCATTTATTTATGAACAAACATTGACTCCAACACTGTGAAATATGGGGATGACAAAGGTCATGAGATGAGCCCCCCCCAACCCCTTTCACTTTAGCTTAAAAAGTGAACATTGAACAAAACAAAACCCAGACCCATCAAGCCCCACCACTACTCATACACTCTAGCCCCTTTCCCTGAACCCCATCAACACCCACCTTTGTCCTTTTCTTTCTTTTCTAATTTATTTTGACATAAGATCTCACTGTGTAGCCCAGGCTGATCTCAAATTCACTAGGTAGCCCAGGCTTGCCTGGGATTGCTCCATCTTCCTGGCCCAGACTCCCAAGTGCTAGGATTATGGGTGTGTTAGATCACACCCTGCTAAATTTTGCCCACTTCTAAGAGCTGGTACCCCACCCACAGCCCGTTAAAATCCCATCCCTTCCCACTTCCAACTTTTTTCAACCCCATCCCTCAATGCCAAATCTAACCCTCCCTCCCTTTGTCCTTGTTGGGGCTGATCAACAAACAGCCCCAGCCTTTACAGGGGCTGAGACCCACACCTCCTTCCTAAATAAATACCCCCTTCCCATTACCAAATGAAAAAATAAATACTGTGAACATCCCCTCCCACAACCCACCAATGGGAATCTCCTGGATTTGGGGCCCCAGCCATTCACCAACAAAGTCCCTTTTCTACCTTCTCTGTAGCCCTCTCCGCTCCTCCTCAAGGCCACCATAGTGGGGAGGAGGGGAAAGGGCCATTAACCCTTCTGATGCTAGGGCACCCCTCTCCTGTTATCGAGGTCCAAGCAGGGCCAGAGCTGAGGGGAAGAGAATGAGGATGGGTGGGGTGTGAAGATCAATAGATGTCCCCAGACTCCTGCTCCTGCCCTGGTTGTAGCGGGCACTTCCACCTCCTCCTTTGCCCCCAGGACCATCCCTTCGAGGAGGACGAGGAGGCCTTGGTGGTCGGGCAGGGGGAGCCACAGGTACTGCCCCAGCCTTCCAGTCGTCTGCATATTGCTGTCCCCCTCCTGAGCCACTGCCGTCTTCATCTGTGAGGACAGAAACAGAGGCAGAGACAGACGGTGTAGGAAAGAGAGAAGAGATGGGAGTGGGGAGTGTGTGTGTGTGTGGGGGGAAAGAAAGCAATATAAAAACAGAGAAAGTGACAAGGGAGAGAGATACAGGTAAAATACAGGGATGGAGGCAGAGAGAAGACAGCCATCAGACACCAGACATGGGGATGAGAGGCAGCAATGGAAGAACAGGAAAGAGACAATGGGAAAGAAATGAAACAAACACCAAAAAAACCCCACAACAACAACAGAAACAGACAGATGGGGACAGAGGATAAGCAGGAAAAGATAGAAAACAGATAGAGAAAGGGTTGGAGAGGAGTGACAAAGACAAGACAGGAGATAGGAAATGAATGTGTTTTGCTTCTCTGGCTAATTCTAGTTTAGGGTGCTTGCCCAGTGTCACCCCAGCTGGCTTCCCTGCCCCCCCCCCACAACTCTTATCTTCAAGATAAGGGGCTCAGCAAAGGCCTAAGTGAACCCAAATGGGTGAAACAGCTGAAAAAGTGGGATGTGATTGGAGGGGCAGCAGGGGGGGTGGGGCTCTGGGCAGTGGGCGGGGCACTGGTGGTGGGCGGGGCTCTGGGCCTTACCCGCATCTCTCATGTCCAGGTCTTGCCCCAGCGCAGCTGCCCTCATCCTGGCTGTGGCTGCTCGGAGATGCAACCTGCGCCGTCGTGTTGGGACGTCGGGGCCCGAGGTATCCCCCTCCAGCTCGGGGTTGTGGAGCTGCTCGGTCAGTGGACCCCCGACCACAGGCTTCATATACCTGCGAGCACAGCATCCCCCCAAACGCTGCATCCCCTCCCCCTCACCAGCCGGCCCACCCGCCCTCTGCCACAGGGTGCTCGGCTCTCACCGGCCTCGCCCAAGTCCCGTCCAGCAAGGCGCCGCTTCCTGCGAGGCGTCGGCCGCCATGCGGGAGTCCTCACACACTGTCATGGGCAGCCCCGTCCAGAAGCCCCGCAACCGGCCCAGCCGCTCCCGGAGCTCCCACACCTGCGCGTGCCAGAGAAAGGGCGCGCGGGGGGGGGGGGCGAGCTGCAGCACACTCGGCACTCTGCCCGCTCCGCATGCACGCTCACCCGCCCGGCCCTGCCACTCACCAGCCGGTGCAGGTTGGTGCCCGCCGCTGTCGTGGGGCGTTCCTCCTCAGCTGCCGCCCTCCAAGGTCTGCTTGCTTCTTCCCAGGGTGCTGGTGCGCGGCGATTACGCGCCAGCACTGGGTGGGGGGTCCCGCATTCCTGAAACACCTGTACCAAGGAAGAGACCCCCAATATACTCACCTGCACGGCGTCCGGACGCTGACCCCGCAAGTCCTCCTGACACTCCACACTGTCAGACACCCTAGGCCTCACCCCCAGGCTCCCCTTCCTCCGTACCCCACACTCTGGCCCCCTCTTCTTCCTTCATACCTTGGCTGACACCTTTACACTGTTTTCCTGCAGGTGCATCAAACCTTCTGAGATCCTCACCCCAATGGACTCAGCAGCCAGCTCAAAGGAAAAGGGGCCCTGGAGTTTCTCAGCCAGCAGCAGGAGACCATCTTGACCAAGGAGGAGAAAGAGAAAAAGAGGAATAGGAAGCTGAGTGCACTGAATCAAGATGATCCCTCAGATCCTCACTGGGACCTTCCTGGGAGGCAGGAAAATGTTGGCACATGGAGTTAAGGGCCCCTTCCCTCCCCTCCTCCTCATGGTCTCCCCTCAGTATCTCAATATGGCTGTAGGTCCTCCTCACCAGCCCCTCCCCAACCCCACAGCCTTACT